GGTTTTTAAAATGAAACATGTCGCCAAAACCTTAGTTTGTGTTCCCATCATGATCTGATTGGGTATAATTGTTTTCCAATTCTCTGTCGAATAACCTTTAGGGTAAACATGTTTTAACTAAAAAATACAAAAATTATGTCTAATATTATGAAGTTTATTTTACACCACAAAACCACGTATAAAGAGGCTTTATATACAGAAATAGAACTGTTCACAAAACAAATGTTGGTTTTAGTAAAAGCACTAGAATGTAAACCTTTACTGTCGTACAGTCAACATGGGGAGAGTACAAAAGAACCCCAGCTCAGATATCATGAAGAGGTCTCGTCATTCCAGCTTAACCGTTATGGCTTCTTTGAATCCATCTACGGCACAAAACAAACTGTTGATTGTACAGACAATCATTCGAGTGCTTTTGTTTTGACAAGATCGGTAATAAAAATAAAATCATAGTAGTTGTTCCTTTTTACATAGGTTTAGCATGTACCTTTCTAGACAGCAGATTGCTTATAGTGCTCGCCTTAAAATTTGAAGGTCCCTGATTCGATTCCAAGCGAGATCGTTACCAGTTTCAAGTCCTATTTTTGTCATTGAGCTATTAATGATCAATTAATGATTTTTGACAAAAGGTGGACTTAGGATATTAACCAGACCAGGAATTGGACCACTCCCTCAAAAAAGACATTAGGATAAGCCCTTGTCGTACACAATATTATCTAAATACCCCCGCCGCAGAAAACCTGCCGACTAAGCGAATTTTCATTGTCTGAATAGATTTTCAAATTAAATCTATTTAAATAACACTAGGTTAATCGAGCACCTAAGTTTGCTGCTACAATGAAACTAATAAAGTGTATTTCTTTAGTGAAATAATAATAGCTTAGTATAAAATCAATAAATCTGCCAAGTTTGATCAAAATAAATCCATAAACAAGCAAACTATAACATTTTACAATATTCTCCATTAGAATAACAAGGGAATTTTAAATTAAAATTTATTTTATTTTCTCCGTTACCATTAACCATACAAAAACACTTTGATATACAAAATTATTTTTTAAGCTATTTAAAAAGGTCTTGAGAGAAATTGGTAATTTTTTTTTTTTGAGGGTCAAAAACAAGAAAACCCAATTTTTTTCCCATAAAACCCTCCGAAAAAACCCCGTTCCCATGGTCCGATCATGCTTGTTTGCGAACTCATTCACATTTATTCCGCCTTTCACCTGTAACCATATTTAATAAAAAATTACTGAAGTTGTCACGTTCGTGGACACACACATGTACATATATAAAAATTTGAACTAATTGTGTTTTTGGCCTCTGAGAACATCAAAATGAAAAAGAAAATCGGTCCCGGGCCTAGGTCTCACCCGTCGAAATATAAACACAATGTTTGTTATATATTGATGGTCTCACCCAAGATGTATGGAGTAAAGGCATCAGAAAACCTCCAAGGTCAGAACAACGTGAGAACAGGGTTGGAAAATGTTAAGAAAACCCAACCGACTAACCAGAGGGTAAAGTCAGTTAACCAGTAAACCTTTTACTCCATGCATCTTGGGTTGGGTCTCACCATGCCACCTACGGTAATAGCTATTTCCCTATGCAGTAATTCGCTAAAAACATACTAATTTACGAGTAGCATCTTAAATTTACATCTTAGTTGTTAGCCGTAGTTATTTCGAATTCAAATTCTTGAAATAAATCTGAGTGTTAAAAGTTTTTATCCTTAAAAAAAACTCACATTTATATCTTTATTAAATTCTTCACCACTTAAAAAAATAATCAGTCCGTATTTAAATAATACGTTCAAGTAATAAATCATATAAAGTTATTTCAATACATGAACGTATGTGGCATTGAAAATCATATTTCAATAGGCAATTAAATATAATTGGTAAAATAATATTTTCCCACCTAAGAAATGGTTTGAACTAAATAGCGGTGACACAGTTACTTTGAACACAATACACAACAATATCTCTCTATGTAATCTACAGACAGAAAATCAATAGGAGCCGACTTTGAAAAGAAGCACTTCATGTTCCTCCTCAATAATTTACAATGCTTTTCTTCGAACTCTCTTTAACAATTTGAAATATTTGAATTGGTAAAAATAATTATATTGTAAAAATAATTGATGTAATACTTTGTTCATTTTAGATGCAATATCAGGGTTTCTCTTTTTTAGCCCGGTTTTTAAGACTAATTAGGAGATTGTTGGTAGAAGATAACTTGATTTTTCTACAGTTTTAATTATTTGTATAATACGTAGCCCGAAGATTTTTCGTTTAGTTATTTTAGCTAGTAAAAAACTATCCAAAGCATCACAAGCATTCTTGCACTTGCATATAGTATGTTTATATTTATTTAATAACACCATTTAAACCATTTGGGTTTAATAACTGTATCGATAAAACTGGTTTCTCTTACAACTAGTTTCGGCTAAATATGAAACCATCATCAGGCATTACACGGACAGGATCGCTTTTTCCGAGGGTCATCATATTTCTCACAAATACAAAAAAATTACGTTACAGAGTTTACGGTTGTACTTGCGTAATGAGTTACGACCTATCAAAAGCCTCCCTACACTGGACTAGCCTTGACAAACCTGACGTGAAAGAGATTTTTGTCGTTCACATTAGTTTTGCGTAGGACATTAATAAATCATCGATAGGACAGGCTTTGTCAGGAATAGCTAGCTTCAAGTACCTAAATTTGCTGGTTTTTATCATTTGATTAAGGTGTTAAAGACCCGTGAAATAAGTAAAACATAAAGAGATGTCAACAACATACGATTCATAACACACGATTTATGTTATTGTTTTGCGTTATTTGTATTTATATTTACTAGTGGTCGTCCGTTGGTCGGAAACTCGACCAAAAACATGCAATGTACAGATTTCCAATTTTCACTCTACGCTATATACAAAACTTGTGTTTGGAATATCTTCCATTTTGTTTAGATTTTCTGTTTATATTGCGTTGTTAAATCCGTGTAATTATTATTACGTCATCAGCATGGCAGCCCATATAGCCCATGTTAATTTTTTTTATATTTAACATTTAATTTTTTAACCTATTTTAATTTATGAAGGTACTATACAAAACTGCAGGAAATATATTTGCAACATTATGCGTAGATTTTCCCTGAGATGCACTCGAGCTGAGAAAAAAGTTTCAAAGAAACATGCTTGCCTATTACCATTGATTTTACTATGTAGAAGATGTTTATATTTGTTTGCTTTAAGATTTTTACTGCAACTGTAACAGGAAATGTGATTGAACTGTTTTGTATTCTGTATATTTACTTTTCATTTCACTGTTTGTATTTAATTGTTTATAATTAGTTTTGAGAACAAAATCGGTCGTGTAAATTTTAGGGTGAGGACTAAAAAGAAGTTGTCGACAAAATATGATTCTTAACACATGATCAATGTTATTATTTTGCAACGTTTATGTTTATATTTTTTTCATTCAGTTAAAATGGTGGAATTAAAGTGGGTTGTTCATTCTCTTGTATAATTTTAATTTGTATAATTTTTTTTATGGTTTAGTATAATTTTAGGACTTAAAGTAGTGTTTTGTGTTAACAACCACAGTGTGTATTATGTCTTCCCTTTAATTTCCCTTAAAAAACTTTACACATTACTTTTTGATATGATATACACCAATGCTTTAAATATATTATTTTATAAACAAGTTACCAGGCTTATGTTCGGATAACTGCAAATTAATTTAGTAATAAATTTCACAGGCTATTATTATATTAAATATATTACAGACATACTGAAACATATAACAAGTGGTAGGTGATTATTTACAATCCGAAGCACAATCTTAAATGTGCGAAAACATATATAATAAAAATATGAAGACGTCATTCAACGGATGTGGGGAATTAAAACCAAGTGTAGGCGAAAAGACTAATAGAGACAAATCCCTAAAACGTGCCCTAAGAGAGAACGGGTCACCTAAATGTCATCAGAATCTGTCACAAGCACTTAGTGTCTCGACGGAGCGACGGGGACAAACCTTTTGTTGGTATTTTTGATTGATGCAAAACCAATAGCGTTGGTGCAAAGCAATAACCTAGTTACTGCGTTAAAATGTTTCTATACCTACAACTTTTGCAATTATATTTTTTTATGGGAGCTTATAGTAGAATGGTTTGTGTTATGATTTTTAGAAAAAAAATATTATTCCCTTATATTGTTGTTCTTTATTAAATTGTACAAACCATTTGGTAAAATAGCCTTAAACTGGAATATTTGACAGCTAATATAAAAAAAAATGTTTATAAACTAAACTAAAAAAAAATGTTACTAAACCACATCATTTTGAGAAAATCTTTGAATACACCAGGAAAACAGATGGATTTTTAATACATTATAGAGAACTGTTTTAACCCCGAGAAAATGAAATAATAATTGAAAGAAATTAAAGTTTGCATGAAAAAAATTATCATACAAAAACTACAAATTCAAGAGGAAATCAAGTACCATCTTGTTAATGATCAAGTAAACACAAGAGCGATCTTGATTAAACTACAACACTCATGAAAATTAGACGGGTAATCATCAACATTGATGAGAGGGATGGATGCAGGCGCCACCGCTCTAGACTGGAGGGGGCGTCGCGGCGCTAGGGGTGAGTTGGGGTAATTTAAAGGGGGTGAAATCGAGGGGGGTATCGCCACAACACTCAGTAGCGCTCGAGCGTCGGACCTCAGTATTGTGACGACCCCGGAGTGAAGTAGTATTCGTGATACACCGATACTCGTGAGAAACTAGTGCGAATACACGTAGATACATGTTTTTGATGTCTTTTATATGTTTTGTGTGACATAAAGTTAACGTATTGTACACGTAACATATTTTAAAGACGTAATTAAAATATCAAAATTTATAGATAAATGAAAATTTAGCATTGATCATTTTTTTTTCAACTGACAAGTCAAAAAGCAAAAAGTTTTTTTTTTTGTTTGAGTTTTAAAATTATTTGTAAATTTACATTGTAAATATTTTAAACACTGAATGCGTTGTAAAGTGAAACACCAGTGATGGAAGATTTTTTAATTTTTACCGTGAGGTGAGGAGTGTAAAAAGTGTTGGATTACCATAAATCACGATGGAAAGTGTGGATAAACGAGGGAAATAACTGTGTGGATTTAATTATGGTCCAGCTTGCCTGTTACTTGCTGTTTACGACAGGTAAGGCGTTAGTTGTCTGATTGCTATACTCAATACCCTTTGTTTAGTTACCTAATTATTCTATATATTATCTGTAAACCTTTGATTATAAGTTGCATATGAGTTCGTGGACAATATTGAAACGTTTATCGTAAAAATACTAATTATGTACTGTATTCATATTGCAATAAAATATGATTTATTATTCAACATATTTTTTTGCAAATTTAAATACAAACAAAAGTTAAAATATATGAACATGATTGGAACACGAAGTGAACATAATAATGTAATAATTGAACTATAATCATGACCGCAATAATGTTATCATTTATTTTTCCAGGATTAGTTAAATTTAACAGACTTAATACTAGTATTATGCAAATGTTTAGGAAAGATCTGACAGAACCATAATCAACAGGTTAATAAATAGCCGGAAGAACAGATTATATCTTACTAATCATATAATTAAATATTATAAACGTGGTAACATTTTATTTGTTAGTACGTCACATTGAGATTCATGTAAGTAATACTAAACTCTTGTGCTATAATCGTGCAAAAATATAGCCAATACGCTAGTAGGTATAGGTATATTTTATACTGGAACTTGCCTAGAGCTCAGCTTCACTGGCTTCTATATTTTCCACGTTATTCTTTGAAATACACTTACTATTCGAAATTAGCATATAAGTCAGCTAAATGTTTTTGTTTACATTTTATTGACATTTTAAGGGCACTTGTAAGCTAATTAGTAATATATTTAACAAAAGATATATATTTAAATTATAAAATAAATATATGCAATTATATTTAGGTTTAGTTTAAAGAAAGCAGTTCAAGTGAATAATCTTCCTTAAAGTTGACTGAGAAATTTATATGATGACCTACAAATGAAGAGTAGTGACCAATATTGAAGATTTAGAATAAAACATTTGTAAATTATTAAACATCAATTTGGAATATTTATTTAACTTTTACATCATGGTATTTTGTTGGATTCCTTTGGATCTATTACCTTAAAATGTAGAAGGGACTTGGAACTAGGTAGGTCGAAAATTTTTAGGTTATGTCACACGGGGGCGCCAAAAGTTTGTTGTGTTTTAAGCTATGAAACATATTCCATACTAGTCCGCAAATACAAAGTAGTAACGAAATTCTTTAGGACAGTAGTTATTAATGCACAAATATCCAGAACATCCCTATTTTAGGCTCATAAAATCTTTATTTGTATTAAATACCAATTCTTTACTTAATGTCAGGCTGGGCAATAGAAAAGAAATTGAAAAAGTTTATAAGAAAGACTTTCTATCCCTGCTTAAAGTTTAAAGAACTTACACAAAGACGTCAAGATGAAATCCAACATGGGAAAAACAGTTGCTATTGTGAACAAAGTGTACCTTGTGTTGCAACCTTATAAAATATTACTTTGCATCCTGGAACAAATTATTAAAAGTTTAAATCCACACCAATATGTTGAAATGAATTTTTATATATCCACATTTAGAAATCCTGCTTGGTTACAAACTGATATTTTTTTCTCCCTGGTTAGTTTCTGAAATCAATACAATTCTACCTTTTATATTCACATTTAGAGATATTTAAGTTCCAACAATTAACTTTCGTAGCAAGGGATTAATTACATTATCCATTTTTTACAGAGACCGAAACCTTCACTAGTTTAGCTATGCCAGAAAAATAATCAAATTAACATTAATATTTAAACCAGTTAACTACAGGGTGTAAGATATTCTTCATGTAAATAATATTTTTAATTATTTTGTTGTTTCAGAATCTTCTGAGTTTATCAGAATTTATTGAATAACACGTAATTAATTATACATTCACTTTCAAATGCCATAAATTGTTGTTTTTGGAACATCATTTTTAGATTAACTAAAATCTGGAATGTATACTTCAAGTGATCAGATGTAGAAATGTGCAGTAGATGTTAAAGTATGAAAGACATGCAAAGCATTGTTGTTTGTCAAACAGTTTGTTTTATTATTTATACAGAACTGAAAAATGTATCTTCGAAGTTTTGAAAATCATAATGTACTAACGCATTTTAACTATTGATACGTATTATAACTATAAATAGACTATTAATACAAACGTATTCTTGGTCTCAATATTTTTTTTTACTAAGCAGAACCGTATGAATCTATGACGGATTAAATATTAATCAAAGGGGGAAAGAGCTCTTTGTTTGCCAAACATCTTTCAAACGTAATGTCCACTGAGCATCAAATACATTTAGTGATGTCATGTGATAATTCAATATGTCATCAGACAGCAGAGGCCCTTTGGCCTGTATCTTATCAAACATAGAGCTTGCCTCTGGGTATCAATTTATGATTTTCTAACCTAAGACCGACGACTATATTCAACTACATTTAGTGCAGATAAACATGTTGGAAAACGGCCTCTAAAAAGTAGATCAGAGTATATATAAAAAATTTCACAAAAATAAGGCCAAATACTCTGTGGTTATCAGAAATGTATGTTAAGTTTGGTGTGAAAACATTCAGTGAACCCCAACTTTGAAACTGATTAATACCAAGAGATAACGCCAACCCCTCATATCTCAACAGAAGGGGGAGGTTAATGCAGTGTTTTGGGGCTTACAACTATATGATGCAATATACCAGTCTGTAGTTATGTAATACAATTTACATTTACATACCAAATTAATCCGATTCAAATTGTAAAAAAATGGTTGCAAAAGTTTTGGTACCATTATTGTAGTAGTCCCCAATATCACAACATATTTAATCAAACAGTAAGGCTATGCAACGTTTATATTCTATAAGCAGTATATCGCTATCGTTAAATATACGTTAACCATTCCTTTTTAATGCTTAGAAGCTACAACTCCTAAATACTTTATGGATGCTATAAATCCATAATAACTTTGATTAGTATAGTAATTAGACATTTTCCTCATAGCCGTTGATAAAGCATCTCAATACTACTGAAAGTGAATCCTTGTCAAACCTAAGTTCTTGCTTAAACATCAGTAAGCTTACAACTAAAGTTTTCTTGATACTTCTAAATTACAGTTAAGCCTCTTAAAAGTTGGCTTTTCACTTCTCGGCTATAATTATCAAGCGTCGTTTACAGTAAAGTACTTATAGTTCTTAAGTAATATTATTGTGTAGCTTATTATCTGTAAGCTAAAGATTCTCTATTCCCGGTTTTTATTTTGACTCTCTAACAACTCTGAAAGACTTTTGTGTACATTTGTTAAGTCCTAGGCCTACAATTGTTTTTTAAGTGGCCGTTTCAGTTCTTGGAATTAAAAAGTTTCACATTACCACATTATTTACTTACATAACAGCATAGTTTCACTTAACAACAAGGGTAGTAGACCAATGAGGTTCAAGGATTGAGAGAAGAGAAGTAAAATTGTAATGCTTCGAACTTCTGTTAATCAGCTGTTTGCCAATGTAATTGTTAACGATTGGTGCAATTAGTGATTGGTACAATGAGTGGCATCAATGTCAGTGGCAATGAGAGTTTATAAACAAAAACATAACCTCTCTTAGAAGTTTTGAGTATAATATTAGTAATTAAAAACCTGTCGTAGGTAAAGTAGTGTACACAACTCACGTAAATCGTGTTAAAGACACTCGCAGAAGTATTTAAGGCACTCGCCAGGGCTCGTACCTTGAATTGTCTACTTGAGTCGTTAACCGATCTAACTTGACGTGATCGTTGCGTAAACTACTATTAATATTTATCCAAACGTACAAACTTTGATACTTTAACACTTTTTTACAGTTATCAATCAATTCTAATTAACGTAAGCCTTTAAATAAATAACTTGGTAGCTATACTGTATACCATAAAACAATAACCTTTATTCAAGGCTAAATGGGTAACTGAGTGGTTATAGTGCTCGCCTAACAATCAAAAGGTCACCAGTCCGACCCCGAGAGAAGTAAGTAGCTTTTTAATGGACCGAAACTGCGCCCTCGTTCAGGCATACTGAGGCATACTGGCTCTTAGTCAGTAAAGCAAGAGAAGATGTTCCAATCCATTCTACACTGATTCATCATTCATATATGGGTTTATGGTGTGGGGAGCGAGGACTAGTTGTAGAGCTTGGAACTTCGGGCCCTTTATGCTAGACTGAAGTAGTGTCAGTTTAAGGCTAGAACCTAGCGTCCTAAGATGTGAATGAGAAACAAAAAACATGCCATTATAAAGGCGTCTTCATCACAACTGATAATGGTAATAGTAATAATGGGGGGAGCGAGCTGGTCTAGTGGTTAGAGCACGGGACTTCGGTCCCTGAGGTCCCGGGTTCAAATCCTGCCAAATCACCAATAGATTTTATCCAAGTGATAATGCTGCAACCCCAAGGTCTAGCCTGAAGTAATGTGAAAACAATCCTGGGCTCTTGCTTAGCGTCCTAGGACGAAAAATCTCAATAATAACAAAATCAACAATTGTTTTTGATTAAATCGTATTTTTCTTCTCTTTTTGTAGTTCTAATTACAGAAATACATACATTTCTGAAACTGGTGTTGTGTTTTTGTGAAATTGTGTTTTCTTCTTTTACAACACTAGGTTATTCCTAACATACCGTTACTCCCAATTGCTGTTAATGGGTCATTTATTTATCATCACGCAAACGCTATTTTACAAATGATATAAGTTCGTTGACAATAATAACATCGATGCAAAATACACGAACGTAAGTATGAAAGGAAAAGCAAATTGTTATGAAATTAAGTTGTTATTCTAATTTGAAGAGGAGTCAATAGTGTAAACCTACTGAGCTCATGCCATGATTGTTTTTCGTATTTTGGGTCTAATGAGTATCTAATCTCAATCGAATAAATTTTACGTCGTTTATGTAAGTTTCCCACAACCGAGAGTATAATGCAGCTAGGGTGCAGATGTACAACTTGTCAATCTCATGTTTTGGATATACTGTATAACATTTAGTGTTACATTCAATTTAGATCCAACTAATTGTAAATAAAAATTGGAAACCCATAAGTATTTTTACCATAGTTTTGGCATGTGTATATCAATTATATACCAAATGTATCCATCAGTCTATATTCTAAACGACCTTTTGTTTAAATACTGTATTATATTACTGAATTATTATTTTAGATTAATGGAATCATCTTGCATAATTATACATGATTAAAGATCGAAATCATTATCAGTTCAACAGAGCAGACTCAGTCAATGCATATTTGTTTATTTTGTAAAAAAACTAATAATTATATAAATGGTGCCTACTTTTATACTTTCAAAGATTAATTTTATATTTGGCACATAAAAAACTAAACTTATAAACAAGTTAAAGATAAATAAGTGTGTTACTGTTCAGAAAATATTGTGGTTAAATTACCTTAAATTTTAATAGTTAATACATAAAAATAAAAGAATGATTTGTTATCGTATGGAGGGGATAACATGGGGAACATTTTAGAACAAATCCCCACCTTTATTAAAGATTTTATTTTATTTGTGACTTTTGAATTACACTGTTCGTTGAAAATGTCAAAGTGAATTTTTGGAGTCTTGAACAAATTTAATCCGACGCTCTTTTTCTCTTATGACACGGAGATACTTTCTTGCTTCTTAAACTTTAAGCAGGGAAGAAACTCTCTCGGCTGACTTTGTTAATCTTACAGTGATGTCAGAGTTTTCAGGTTCTGTGTTTGAGGATATTCTACGACAAGAAATATCCTACATCAAACCTTATGATCTAAATAAAATTTTGTTATACTCTCTAAGCGATGAAAGGCTTACATTGTTTTTAAAATTTCAACCGATATAATTTTTGTTTATTGTACTCTGTATAGATTATTTGAAATATTGTATCTAATTAACTCCAAATTAATTTATGTCTATACAAAATACATAATTTCATACTATGTTACATTTTCTTAATCAACATTTTAAAGCCTTTAACTTAACTTTCTTTCAATAAATGTAAAGTCAATTTAATCTATAAATAATTTAACTATTACGAATATTTTATATTCCAACACACTACTGTAAGTCTTAAAATATACTGTACCAATTTATCCAACCGTGTTAGATGGGACGTTTCTTTTCGTCAGGAATTTCAGATATTCGCCGCTCCTTTACACGACAAGGCTTACGCTGAATTAAATTCCTAAAAAGAAATATGTTTTCCACGTGTTAAAGGCCTTTTTAAGCACACAAGGGTGTTTTTATGAGGCACACTATATTTAGGAAATCTTTTTAGTTTGTTTAGATCAATAGGGTAATCATTATTTAACACTTACAATCAGATTATTTGTAGTATAATAAGTATTATTAAAACTACCATTTAAAACATAAAGATAGTGTAAAACATAAAAGTGCATGATAGAGTTACAGAAATAATCCATGAAGAGGTCATTTAAATGAGCCAATCAGTATATAAAGTTTATAGGCTTATAACAATAAGAGAGCTTATAACAGTAAGCTTTTGTTATAAACAAATTTGTAATTAATGTAAATGGTTATTAGGCACCCATTTAATTTTTTTTTACCAACCCAAAGTTAAAATACTCCAATCATAAATTGAAACACATAATAAGTACAATATCTCTCATTGAGCCCTATTTAAAAATGTATAGTGACTTTTACAACTTACAGTCAATATCTCCCATCAGAATTATAAAGTATTTTACCAAAAGAACGTTTTATTGACTTCGTGGAGTCTTACGGCAGGTTTCACTCACGGAACTTGTAAATTATTCAGTAGGTTATCGCCTTGTGTATACAAGAATATTTAACCACTAGCGTTACGTTCTTAGTTCCTTTAGCTCGGAGTTTCAGAGAATCATTCACTCTTACTATAATTTAGATTATGGTGCCAAAAGATTTGGTTGATTTATCTGTAACTTTTTTGGGAGATATAAGATTTGTCAAATTTATTTTACTAAGTGTATATTATATCAACACTCAACCGACGATGTATGTATGCCATGAAATGTATAGTTAGGTTTATATAATGCTTGCTTGGTAATTTTGGAACCTACAGGTTTTAGCTAGAAGATTATTAGTACTTAAGTATTATACCGACCACACCGATAAATTGACTTCCAAATAAGATTTAGTTGGTTTAATTTAACAAAATGGTCATAACCACTGACCTTACCAACCTTAGGTTAGGTTAGGTTATAATTATTAGGTGAGGTCGGTATAATACAAAAGTACCAGATTTTTGTATCGTTCAAAAGTGGATCTAGCTTGAAATAGATTTAAATTTTTCATGAAAGATCCTGGCTGGAGAACTAGCTCATATTACTATGAAATACGTAATTTGCTATATTCTGGTCTTATACATCTAATGGATAAAATGTGATAGAAATTATGACTCTGTCACTATAGTACAGTCGTTCTGTATGTATTCACAAACTTATTAATTTTTCGCGAAATACTTGTTTTAAAAGCATTCAAATCCGTGGTTGGCTATCTAAAGAGAGTAGCAAAAATAAACGGAATCCTCACAATATGTAAATGAGTCAATCCATGGCATCCATGGCCGTGGCGAGACGGAATTGGCGACACCCGGCCTACTGAAACATTTATTGCATTAATTTATAATGGAGCGTCTGCGAAATTTGTTCTTGTTTACACGTTATTTCTGTTATTACCGTGGTAATAGGCCAACCGATACACATCACACACATCATTGCAACACACCAACGCTGCTACTTTGTATTAGAGGAGGTTATGGGTACTCTCATTCTCTTACACAAAAACCCTTAATATGAGATAAAATAAAACTGTACGGTACCTTTTGTATTATACCGACCACACCTAATTTGGCTACCCTTATGTTGGGTTGGGTTAGGTTAGGTTAGGTTAGGTTTGGTTATCTTCCAGTTATCTTATCCTGACCTAACCTAACCTAACCTCGGTTAGGCCTAGCTTAGCCTAACCTATGTGTGTTAACTTTACCCAATTTGGGTGTAGTCGGTATAATGCCAAAGTACCAACTATACTATCAGCATTGACAGATATAAAGTCAATGCTATCAGTCTCGTAAGTGATTGCCTACTTTTTTGATAAACATGTTCTAGTAATTGTAGAAAATGTCTTCCTGGGTGGTTTCAAGAGTAGAATATGTGGCGCAAGTGAGGTACATTAAGGGGTGTCTCTAAGCTTGTGGCGCACTAGTGAAGTGGTTGGAAACAGGTAGAGTGGCGCAAGTGCGGAAAGCCCTATTTCATGCAAATATATTATCCAAACAAACACAGAGTATTACAAGATAGCTTTCCGAATCCTGTTCTAGGGTGCCTGGTGACTGGCCTGAGAGACGTGCACATCACAGTTCCTAAGGCTGTACGACGGGGTGACTCAGTGCTGCTTCACTGCCATTATGACTTGGAGGGCGACCCCCTCTACTCTCTCAAGTGGTACAAGGGACGGGCAGAGTTCTATAGATACACGCCCAATGAGAAACCTCCCACCAAGGTGTTCCAGATACCAGGACTGTCAGAGCTCAATGTGGACGTAAGCTTTTAGACTGTGTCTTGCGGGTTTCCGGACAATTATAGATATTAGACGACGGTTGTATATAGACTTATTCTAAGTTCAGAGTAATGTAAAAAAAAATACTCACTGAAAATTATTTTTGCACGTTTTATAACTTGTTGTCCGTTTAAACAGATTAATCCGTAATTAAAAGAGCTCTTGGGGACACATTTATGATATTTATATTCAGGTCTCCACTCATTTAAGTACTAAGGATTATTTAATTATATATACAATTATCTAACAAATTATATTGAAAATCTACTTTCCGCTTAATTTAAATACAAGTTAAATAACATTTTATCTTGTCAGTTTCACTGCAGTTTTTAGGATTATTTCCATTTTTTTTTTTTTTTTATTATTATGTATCCTACTAATATTATCAATTATATATATACAAAAGCTTACTTGATATGTAAACGATATTTATTTGAAAAATGAAATAAAGAATTAGGAACACATTATTGATTTTATACTAAGGTTCACTCTTAAACTAATGAAAATTAATCACTAGCTATGTTAGAGTTTAACTTTTTTTTGTAGCAGAACTATTATTATGTTAAGAATTTTCTCACTGTAATCTGTTAATGTAAATATCGTTCACGTTTTTTTATTCAAAGTTATAGGACAAGAAAATCTATACATCTAACCTTTTCATTTAGAAAGTTATTTTCTAATTATTAAAAAACAAAAACATTTGTTTAACTGTTTTATCTTACATCTTGACTTCAACTCATTGAAATCACTTAAACATTAAGTTCATTCAACAACAGAGTGTTTTTTTAAAAACTTGCATCTTTAGTTATGTAAAAACCGCAATAGATAGAAATATGCAGTTTGCGGGAATCATCTAGTGACGTAGGGGGACCAATTGTTTTGAATTCACCGTTACATTCACATTCCCCCCCTTTCCCCCCCTGCCCACAACTTAATTTTTTTAAATAGCAAGGTACCCCTTGTGACATATCAAATAAAAGAGCATGAAAAAAGAAAATGTTTGATGAAAAAAAATTGAAAATCGGTTCATAAATTTGTGAGATATTCCCCCCCTCACACCCCCGGAACTTAATTTATTTTAATAGCAAAGTACCCCTTGTGACATATCAAATGAAAGAGCATGAAAAAAGAAAATTTTTGGTGAAAAAAAAATTAAAATCGGCTCTTGAATTTGTGAGATAATCACCCCCCTTTTCCCCTACCCATAACTTGTTTTTTAATAGCAAGGTACCCGCCCTTGTGACATATCAAATGAAAAATAAATTTCGCCAAAATTTTTCTTTTTTCATGCTCTTTCATTTGATATGTCACAAGGGGTACTTTGCTATTAAAAAAAAATTAAGTTCCGGGGGGGTGAGGGGGGAATATCTCACAAATTTATGAACCGATTTTCAATTTTTTTTCATCAAACATTTTCTTTTTTCATGCTCTTTTATTTGATATGTCACAAGGGGTACCTTGCTATTTAAAAAAAATTAAGTTGGGGGCAGGGGGGGAAAGGGGGGGAATGTGAATGTAATGTTGAATTCATAACAATTGGTCCCCCTACGTCAATAGATGATTCCCGCAAACTGCATATTTCTATCTATTGCGGTTTTTACATAAATAAAGATGCAAGTTTTTAAAAAAACACCCTGTATAATGGTTTTTGTGTCAAGTTTTCTTTTTACAACGGATTACGGAGGGTTGACTGTAGCTTATCAAACATTCAATACTCTATGGACTCAAACTACAAAAGAACTTCAACAAAGAGCAGTCAAAGCCGTGAAAACTTTAAGGAAACAACTACAGAAGAAAATTGTCCTGTAGGGACAAACGACTTCGCAGTGAGGGGCTCATGAGAATTAAATTCTTTGCACCTAATTTTAAAGTTTTGTTTGAAATACTTGTTCTTAAATGAAGTTTTATCGTCATTAGACGCTCTTATTCCCTAGTCAATTTCAAGTATCGTTAAGCTATTTAAGTAACATAGGGGAACAGTTTACAAAAGGAATTATATTGTGTTCTTCCCTATTTTGTAGAATTGTACAAAACGAACAATCTGCAATTGTTTCGGAAGTTTAACATAGTTATATATTTACAAATAACTGTCGTCACATATAAATGGTAATAGTTTTACTAAATCTGCTTATTTTTCTTGTACATAAATGTGCAAAATACGTAATACCTAAACCTGAAATATAAAAACGAGAATTTAAATTTACATAGCTGTGAAAAACGCTACTTTGTCACAAAAAATGAGTGATAAAAAATTATAGTTGTCAAAACAAAGAAAATCATACATACTATGAAGGGTTGCGTCACAAAACAATATGTAAAATGAAAGAAATCAAGTAAAAATAAATTGACTAAGCCTCGCAAGCTTTCTCAATTTCAAATAAACATTGTCACGACTGGCGGACCACGTGTTAAATCTTATTACTTTTTATAGAACACATTAAAGTAATGTTTTCTGAAGAATGTAACTTCTTATTTCAGAAATCTCAGTCTAACGGCTCCCAGCTGTTCCTGCGGCAGGTGACCAGTTCTCTTAGTGGTCAGTTTAACTGTGAAGTGTCCGCAGACGCACCTTCCTTCCACACAGCCATTGTAGCCGCCAACATGGACGTTGTAGGTTAGACATTTTATTTTGTCCTAGGACGCTAGAGTTTAGCCTGGGAAAGTTTGCATTACTTCAGCTAGGCCTGAGGGTTGTGACATTATCACTTAGATAAAAACACATTAGTGTTCGGCGGGATTTGGACCCGAAGCCTCAGAGATCAAAGTCCCGCACTCTACCGACTGACCAGATCGCTATAAGTAAAACTGGTGTATTACGTGTAAAGCAGTAGAGTGCCGTTGACTCAGAGACTGGATGAATTAACATGAGTGATAAATTATACATGCAACATGTGTAAATTAGATTTGCTGACACTCTAAATTGGTGTGGATGAAATTGAAACACGTTCAAAGAAGATTATTCATTTTGGAATTTTATGGAACGAAAACATAAAACTCACATTGAAATTAATTAATTAATTGCAACTTTATATGTAAAAATTTAAAAAAGTAATTATACAAAATCTAGTATCTGCACTTTCGTACGAGCTTTAAGGGCAAATATTTAATACTCTATTATCCACGGTTCCGAAACGAAGCTCAAATTTGAATTAAAGCTCTCTGAATACGACTGGATATATAAGCTACTAAATTTGCCTAAATTTTTTTTAAATGAATTTTACTATAAGCTATTGCGATAAAGCTGTTTTGTTGTAATACCTAAAAAAAAACTCGATGACTACAAAGTGTAAGAAGTTTCTAGATACTGTAGTCTCAACATTAAGCTATGCTCACTACTGGAGATTATCAAGGAGTTTTAAGGTTTATGTGGATTTAATGTAATCTACATACGTTATAGTCTTGGTAAATAGTATGGATGAATATGAATAACTAGGGAACCCGTGCGGCTCAATGAGCCGCCTAGTATGAAACATAACGCCGAGGAAAACCTTATGCTTAAATTCTAGTAACTTTAGTTACATCTTAGAGTTATTTGAAAACTTGTTAAAACTAATTTTAAATATCTCTAATGGCGTCACCAAGGTTCACCTACATCATTTCTGCTCTCGATTTTAACTGATAACTTCTAATGAATGCTAAACAATCTGCCTCAATTCGAGTTAATATGTTGCAACAAAGTTTTTCCAGCATTGAGAATTATTGAAGAACACTGTTGCCGTACTGATAACCTTTCTTAAGTAATTAAAGCTGGGCCATTTTATTCCTTTGATTTGAGACATCCCCCCCCCCCCCCGATCAAACGAATTTTCTCCGTAGAGTAACCTGAAAAGTGGGGTGATGTCAACCATTTCATGTGCTCCTTTTTTACCCACCAACTCGGGGTTACCAACTGGACAGCCATAACCTGCTTTGAATAGGCTAAAGCAGCAACAACATTGAAAGTTGGTTAACGTAATTTTAACAAAATGTTTTGAAATATCTCGATCTGTCAGTGTCTGAAGTAAACATTTCTTGCATGCATTCATTTGATCTGACATTTAGGCAAGTTTACTTTCCCACCGTGACAACACTATGAGCTTCGTATATTTTTTCACTTCCAAAGTAAGTTGCATAGCAGAACTGGCAAATATTATTCATCTCACAAAGTGAATGTGTATCTGGATGGGTATCTGTTAGACCACGTCTCTCTTTTTCTACTCTCCTCATACACACAAAATATCTTATTATTAAGAGGGTTCCCTACCCCCGCCTAAAAACGTTAGAAAACCGCTTCGCGCGGTATCATATAGCGATTCTAGTTTTAACATTTAAATTGTGAACCAAACACCATTTTGTACATAAAGAGTGGTTCTACTAAGTTTGCTTTTTAAAAAATGTCTATGCTTACGCAATCAAGGGCAACGACTTGTCAAAGTTAGTGAACTTTAACTGTAAATTTCACTAACTTTGACAAGTCGTTGTCCTTGATTGCGTAAGCATAGACATTTTTTAAAAAGCAAACTAAGTAGAACCACTCTTTATGTACAAAATGGTGTTTGGTTCACAATTTAAATGTTAAAACTAGAATCGCTATATGATACCGCGCGAAGCGGTTTTCTGACATTTTTCGGTGGGGGTAGGGAACCCTCTTAATTGTGTCCTACTACCGTGTTCAATATTTCTTCTTTGAACTTGAGGCATTTTCTGTTCTTCCAACAAAACTGATTTGAACTGTTTAACTTGGTCTTAACCGAAGGCTATTAAAAGGTCTTAACCTACTAAATATTACTGTAGTACTGTGAGTTAATTATGTAAAGTAATAAGACATTTTCGTAAGAAAAGTTATATTTGAAACACCAAGTAACTATGTTGTTATGTCAAACGTAAACAAACAAAAATGTAAACAAAGTATTGAAAACACATTTAAATTGTATCAGCTGATTCAGTACACTACATCGTCCCCCCTTCTTCTAAGAGTTAAGCCAGACGAAGTTGATCTGCGTGGCATCGTCTATTTAGTCCATTTGTATTTACTACATATGAGTAAGGACCATTCACTTTCACAATCGTTCCTTTCTTGAAACCAGCTCCAGATTTGTCTAGTACCCATACATTGTCGTCCTCTTTAAAAACTTTTTCTTTTGATCCAGGTTTTTGTAGCCGCTGTTGAACCAACTCTTCGTCGTTTTTCTGCTCAACGTCAGGAAACAACATGTCTAATTTGGAGCGTAATTCGCGACCAAACATCATAAATGCTGGAGTTTTTCCAGTAGATCTTCTCAGTGACGTTCTGTAAGCAAATAAAAAGCTGTTGAGTTTTTCTTGGAAAGTCCCAGCATTTCCTTTTGAAGCATTCATGCGTTCTTTGAATGTACGAACACATCGTTCCGCTAACCCATTGCTTTTTGGGTGATAGGGGGTGATTCGAGCATGTTTAATGTTTAGGCTCTTACAAAAGGTTTGAAACTCGTAGGATGTTAGCTGTGGTCCATTATCGCTTACAATTACCCTTGGATAGCCAAATCTTGAAAATAACTCTTCTAAAGCTTTGATCGTTGACTTTGTTGAAGTTGACGACATCGGGAATACTTCAAGCCATTTTGACCGAGCATCTACTACAATCAACCACATTTTCCCCATGAAGGGTCCGGCAAAATCGATGTGGATCCGTGACCAAACTTCTCCAGGAACAGGCCATGAGAATAACGGCATTTCAGGATCTTTGCTTCTGTTTTCTTGACATCCATTGCAATGTCTAGTGTGTTCTTCCAAGTCCTTGTCCAGTTTAGGCCACCAGACTTGAAAACGTGCCTTCCCTTTCATAGCTACAATACCTGGATGTCCCTCATGTAGTATTTCCATCACTCTTGATCTAAGTTTCGCAGGTATGACCAATCTCCCAAACCAAAGTAGAATTCCATTCTCAAAGGAAAGTTCTTCACGTTTGCTGTAGTACGGTTGTAGGTTAGTGTCTTCATTATTTTCCAAAGGCCAACAACCCCTTTTTAAATAGTTTACTACTTTTGAAAGTATTGGATCAGTTTTTGTCGCTTCTTGCAAACACTTTGTCGATATTGGTAGATCCTGTGAACGCAAATGGAAAAGGTGTGCTTTGTTACTGCCACCCTGGTCTTCCTCTGTAGATTTTATCGTATTTTGCAAGGGAAATCTTGATAATAGATCGGCTGTTTTGTTATCTTTGCCCTGTTGATAGTTGATCGAGTAGTCATAGGCACTCAGTGTTAATGCCCATCTAGCGATTCGATTTGAAACTACCTTCGGAATTGAATCATGTTCACCGAAGACTTTAACCAATGCTTTATGGTCCGTTCGAACTTCGAAATGTCTACCATAAAGGTACTGTTCAAAACGAGTTACTCCAAAAACCAAACCTAACGCCTCCTTTTCTATCACGCTGTATCGGCACTCAGCATGATCAAGGCGCCTTGACGCAAAAGCTAAAGGTTTTTCAGTCCCATCAGGATACTTTTGGAAAAGAGCAGCTCCAACACCAATATCACTCGCATCAGTTGCGAGGATGAGAGGTAGGGATTCGTCATAGTGAGCCAACGTGTCTGTTGTAGTAAGAAGATGCCTCAATTTTGCTGCTACCTGTTCATGGTTTTCGTTCCAATGCCATTTCACGCCTTTCTTTAGCAGTTTGTGTAATGGAACACACAAGGACTGTAAATGGGGAATAAATTTACTGTAGTAATTGATCGACCCAAGAAATGATCTTAACTCTTTCACATTTTTCGGTGATTGCATGTTTTTCACTGCTTCCAGATGTTCTGTCGTTGGATGTATACCAGCTCTATCAATTCTGTGACCCAAATAGTTAACGGAATCTTGAAACCATTTACATTTTGATGTCTGGACACGAATTCCAGATTCTTGAAAACGTCTTAACACTTCTTTGACACGTTCGATATGTTCCTCTCTCGTTGGGGCTGTGACTATGACGTCGTCAAGGAGACAAGCGACTCCATGTAAGCCTGCCAGTACTTGATCCATCTTGCACTGAAAAACCCCGGTGGCAATTTTGATTCCGAAGGGTAAGCGTTTGTACTTGAAAAATCCTTTGTGAGTAGAAATAATCAGGTACTGTTGTGCCGATGGTTCGACCTCCATCTGCAGATATGCATCTTTGAGATCTATGACGGAGAATTCCTGGCCACCTGTAAGTTTTGAGGTGATCTCTTCGAATGTAGGCATAGGATATTTATCGGGGAGCATATGTTTGTTTATAGTATTTTTGAAATCCGCGCATATGCGGATAGCTCCAGACGGTTTTACCACTATTACTATGGGCGAAGCCCAAATGATAGGTTCATTCCTGGCATCGACTGGTTCTAAAACTCCACTGTCTACTAATCGTTGAATTTCATTTTCCACAGGTTCCCGTAAAGCAAAAGGAACTGGCCGTGGTTTTGAAACTACAGGATCTGCATTTGAAGCCATGTGAAAAGATACCTTGTGATTTTTAATCGTACCTAAAGAGGGACTGAAAACTTCTGGAAAACCGTTAACAATGTCATTAACAATCTGTTCACTTACTTGTTCTGTTTGCTGTTTGGACAATGTACATATTTGAGCCCCAGGTGGCAGTGGTAAGTTAAAATCAAGAACCCAGTCTAGGCCGAACAAAGGTTTATCGTTTTTCTTAACAACAATTACCGGTAACTTACGTTTGGAACCAAAAGCTTCAACTGAAACATACGTTTTTCCCATAGTTTCAATGAGAACTCCTGTGTATGCATTAAGATTTTCTGTGGGAAATAGTTTAGGAGCTCCTAGATCTCGCCATATATTTCTGCTAATGATACTGAACGCTGCACCTGGGTCATACAACATTGAAATTGTATGATTGTTTAACTTGACTGAAAGCATTACTTTCGACCCTTTATTAATCGCTTGGATTTGATCTGTATCAGAAAAAGATTTAACACTAGAGTTACAAGACGAGTTTTTTGCCTCTAACATGTTAAGTCGCTTACCTTTGATAATGGCATTACCCACTTTAAGACAAGTGCGTGCAAAATGATTCAGTCCTCCACAGGCGTTGCAAGTGGCATCGACAGCGGGACAGCTCGTTCCTTGTGTATGTTTCTTGTAACCACACCGAATGCAGTCAGTTCTCTTGTTAAGATGTAAGATGTTTTGTTTCGAAGTGTTTCCTTTTGTTTCTTGTTTCAACGGTATCGTTTCGAAAGCATTCTTCTTGTTCCTGTTGCTTATTCTGTTGACTGAACGTGTATTACGGAATTGTGACTGTTGATTGTCAACATTTTCCAATAAAGTAGCGGTGTTTGTGACTTGTTCAAATGTAGTATCTGTCGTAGCATGTAAGCGCAAAAGTTCAAGTTGCCAGCGATCATTGTTGATGCCCAGAACAAACTGATCTCTCAGCCGTTCGTCTAAGTTGTCACTAAAGTCACAGAGACCTGCAATTTCGCGCAAAGCAAATTCGAAATGACTAACAGATTCACCTTCTTGTCTGAAACGGCGACTAAAGATAACCCGCTGTGATAGTGGTGCGGATTTTTGTGTGTAGTATTTCTTAAGTATATCAATAACTCCTGTAAAGTGAAGATTACTGACGGGATCAGGTCGTGCGTGGTCAAATACTAGCTTGAAGGGTTGAGGTCCAAGGTTCCCTAGCAACAAGTCTCGTTTTGTATCCTCATTCTTGATTCCTCTGTTTCGTAATGCAATCTTGAAACGTTCGAGCCAGTAAGTCCATTCTTCAGAATGGCCATCAAAAGCATCTATACGTAAATCGTCGGTCCGTTTAGTAGACTGCGCCATTTGTAGTACTGTGAGTTAATTATGTAAAGTAATAAGACATTTTCGTAAGAAAAGTTATATTTGAAACACCAAGTAACTATGTTGTTATGTCAAACGTAAACAAACAACAATGTAAACAAAGTATTGAAAACACATTTAAATTGTATCAGCTGATTCAGTACACTACAATTACAAACATCAATATTTACTCCTAAAAAGCTACAGTTTCTTATAAACAGCTGTTTTTTTGTTTTAAATTTGTTCTATGTATTTCTTATGGGGAAAACCCGACCTTTGAGTGGGCCTCACGCTCTTAAGGGCAGGAATTTTAGAATTCTAAAACTTTATTGCAAAACTACATATTGAGACGAATCTTTTGACACCTTAAACGTTGAAATTGGTCCACAAATAAGGGAGGAGTTGCGTTAACAAAAAACGGCTTCACGTATTATATATATAGATGTTTATGACATAACATGAAAATAATATTGCGTAAAATATCTATGGTACTCTAATTTTGTTGTATATCTTTATTTGCTGCACAATTATGGTTTTGTAACAGTTCCATTAATCAATTAAAAGAACCGCAATAATCTGTTCTGCGTCCTCTTGCCGTTCAAAGCACAAATGTTGCGACTAGTGATCTGCACACCAAATTAAATCACAACTCTTTCTACATATTTTAAAATATGTACACATACGTAACTTCATAGTTCGACCTATTTTATTGTTTTCAGGATTAATCCCTGTGGTAATAATAATAACCAAAAATGAGCGTTTGGTTTCGAACGTAGATAGCAACTTTCAAAACAGTGACAAACCAATACTGGAAAGTATGTTTAGTACAAGCAGAACGAGTACAAAACGTCAACTTGAGTTTTCAGCAGACATTGTTTTATCTCAAAACCCGTGTTATTGCACTACAATTTTACAATGGCAGCCTTACCTCCAGAGCTTTTAATGGTTATTAGATAGATCTTGAACACAGCATGTATTTGAGTAAATACTTAATCCGTATATCTTATTTATTTTATCACAGCCTAATCAAAGCACCATAGTAGGCTCGTCATCCTGACGACAATCTTAGTTCCCTCCGGTGCCATAGAATGGGTTTCTGTTTACCTTTTGTTTTTGTGTTACTTCAGCTATTTAAATACTTATTTTGCCAAACAAAGTGATTGAAATATTAACAATAGCTAGTATTCATATCTTAAAAAAATTTAAATTTAAGCAGGAATCATGAAGTTAACCTTATTATATAATAAACAAAATTTTGATGGCACTTACTCACAATGTCACCAAATGAACTAGGCATAAAAACATAGAAATTTTGAATGGGATTCCAAACTCTAATGGGATTCTAACTGCTGGTATTAGTTAGTCAATGGTAGTATATCAATTTTTATATGTAATAGTAATAGTTGATACCCTAATCAAATAAAAATATTTTATCTCCATGTACTGTGATGTCCTAAAACATAACACAATAAGCCCACTGCCAACCATTATCAGGTCCTATAAATTTTAATGTAGCCTACTATAGCTCATCAAACTTATTAAACTGTTTATGTATTCATGGACGTCAATCTGAATATTGTGTTACATATATCTTTTGTAACTTATATTCAACTGTGTATTTTAGAAGTACCCCGTAACCCGCCTGAGTTGTCGGGGATCAAATCCAAATACAGAGTAAGAGACACTCTAAGGGCTAACTGCACAGCTTCACCCTCAAAACCAGCTGTGAACCTCACTTGGGGAATCAACGGTGAAAATGTAAGTTACAAAAACATATTTAGAAACGTGTTTAAACGAGTATGAATTAATGCGTAAATCATCATATTCACCTAACGTCATTTTCCAGGTTACTCTTTCAAAACGAAAGTAGCGTTTCTATTGTATTGCTAATTATACAGGGTGAGTTTTAAATGAGTTCCCCCCCTACTTTTTTCTACATTTCTTAAGATATCAACTTCGGACCACGTCAGATCATTGTAGAGTAGTAAGTACTTCATTTTGACTGGGTATACATTTTTGGCCGCCATTTTGGATCCGCCATATTGGATTCAAAGTTTTTTTTTCTAATGTAAATGTAGGGATGTGACCAAATATTCCAAACTAGAATTTTACGCTGATTACAATGCTGCAAATAGTTAGCAAGTAGTTCAAAATGATGGGTCACGTCATTTTGAACTACTTTTGCATGCTGAACTCAATGCCGCAAACAGTTTTTCATTTGCATTTTTATTTGGTTTTGGAATTATTAAAATTTTAAAAAAGATAATATTAATATTTCATTAAGAAAGCTTGATAAACGGATTGCGGTGATGTGAGAGTTCAGCATAAAAAATCTGTTGAAAATAATGGGTCACAACACCACCTTCATATTTAAACTTATTGATCACATTTCAAAATGGTGGATCCAAGATGGCGGACGAAAAAATTACACCCGTCATAACCAAGTGAAAATAAGTCAACAATGAATGGTGGTACTTATCTTTATCTAGCACTATTTTGAAATTATGGTCTTAGTTTTAAAATGCACAATGTTAAAATGGGCTAAAAATTTAGTTATAAAAAGTTATAGTAGATATAATATACGGGTTTAAAGTCACTTGGGGCACGTTTTCCCATAAGAAATAACATGGGATCATTTTTTGGCCACTAAAACCAAAAATCCTGATCTTTTGCCTAAATATCCCTATAAAATTGTCAAACCTTATTTCTTACTTATTCCCCATAAATATATTCGATATTAAGCTAAAAAAGCTATTTCTTATATTTATTGACCCTTACAAGTGTAAATGTAGAGTAGAGGCGAACTAGCAATATGACATCACTTTAGGCACGTTTTCCCCATAAGAATAACATGGTGAGCTTTTTTTGACCACTTTTTTAAAAATCCAGCTCTCGACCAATACAAGCCTATATAAATGTTCAATACCATTGTATAACTTCATTACTATTTCAAATCCACATCCATTCACATGTATATTCTCAAAATCATCAACTTGACAGTGCGAGGTTTGTACGCGAACTCGGCTCATGGCGCGCTCCCTTGGACATCCTTAGTGGAAATCCATGAATTCTGGCTACTTGGGAACCCAAGCCATTTGACATATAATAAATCACCTTTTCTCCTAATAACCTTTTCTATCAAATACATGTCTTTATATTTGGTCTTTAACAATTCCTCTGTATAGAAGCCTCCCCTGATTATATTACCATTTTCATCTTTCAAGATATAAGTCACAGGCTTTGTATTCTTTACTTCTGCTATTGTAAATAGCTCCCCTGTCCAATTTGGGGTATATCCTTTACTAAAAACATGTTTATACTTAGAAATTCTCACACTATCACCTACCTTATATCTTGGCTTTTTAACTTGCACTACTTTAGAAGTCAACCTCTCATGCACATATTTACTGTTCTTAATATTCACTTGGTTAGGCTTCATTCCTATAGATCTATGCACCTTATTATTATATTTTCGAATTAACTTTGGAAGTAAATCCAACCATTTATAACTCCCCTGAGCACTAAATTCCCTATATAACCAATTCTTTAAAGTTCTCTGAAACCTCTCCACAATTGCAGCCTTAGTTGTAGAAAATGTGTGATAGTGATTAATATTTAATTGTTTCATTAGTTTGCTAAAATATTGATTAAAAAATTCTTTTCCATTGTCAGATTGAATGTTTTTAACCCCCTTTGGTAGAGTGGTTTTAATGGCTTCTGTAACCACCAGCCCTGTCTTATTCTTTAGTGGAGCAGCATAAGCTTTTTTAGAAAATGTATCTATTAAAGTTAAAATATATTTATTGCCAGAATTCTCTCTAGCATAGTTTTGCATATCAATTAAATCTATTTGTACAGTTTCGTTTATACCTAATACTTTAAAAGACCTTCTAATGAAATTCTTTCTTGCAGGCTTATGAAGTTCGTATGCAATTTCATTCATTTTTTATAACATCACTCTTTCCTTGTACTGTAAATATATTACCATTAGCCCCAATCAATAGATTATCTTCCATTCTTTTAAATACATAGTTTTCTGGTATATATGGTCTATTATCTATATACTTAAATCCACTCAAAGATGTAGGGTCGGCAACTAATAAATCAGGATTGTATTCCATCAAATTAAATTTTCTTCCTCCATATACAAATTTTGATCCATCATAATACATAGCTTGTGACATTAAACAAATATCATCTAAATATTCCCCCATTGGCAGATTTCTTATATATTGTTTTTTGGCATCCCAACATTTTTCTTTTTTATCAAAAGTTATAGTCTGTTCTTTTGTAACACAATCAGTGTCATCAACGGCAGGTTTAACACGTACTAACCTGTTATTATTAAAATCCCAATAGCCTGCTTCCATTTTTGGAACTTGTGAAACATTCACAGCATCCTTACTATCTGTACCTTCTATCAAATTGCTAAGTTTCTGTTTCTTAGCATTCCAAACACCATTCTCTGATTCTAAAAATTCATAATTATTATCGTCTTGTATAAATTTACCATTTTCTTTTCGTATTAAAGTCTGTTGTAAAGTGGGCACATCATCTAAACTTTCACCCTTTTCCACATTAGTAATTTTCCGTTTCTTAGCATTCCAAACACCATTTTCTGATTCTAAAAATTCAAAATTATTATTGTCTTGTACAAATTTGCCATCTTTACGTATTAAAGTCTGTTGTAAAGTGGGCACATCATCTAAACTTTCACCCTTTTCCACATTAGTAATTTTCTGTTTTTTAGCATTCCAATTTTTATTCTTAGATTCTAAAAACTCATATTTAGTTTTACCTTGTAAAAATACATCACCTTTTCTAGTTAATGTCTGACCCAAAGTTGATACATCATCTACAAACTCCCCATCTTTAACATTACCAATTTTACGGTTTAAACAATTCCAACTATCGTCTTGTAAATTTAAAGTAGGTTCATTACTAGCCCTGGGTTCTGCAGGTTTATTATATGGATTATATAAACGATAAAATTTATCTATAAACATATTTTTATTTAATAAATAATTCCACTTTCTCTCAATTCCTCAATAATGGAATCTATTTCATTATCCACTCCTGAGTTACCGGCTTGGCGACTTAGCCAAAGAAGTCTTAACCTATCTATAAGCTCATTAGGATCATCCCAATAAATATAGTCTATTTTATTACCAGTCACTTGTCTCAAACCTTCACCAACAGATTTAAAAAGAGGTTTAATTATATTAAGATATTTAGTATGTCTATTGCTTGAAATTGGTGCACCATCTTTGTAACTCTTTAAATGTCCATTTGTAGCTTCCAAAATCTCTTTATAATTTTGCAAATCAGCCTGAGTATAATCCTCAGGTTCTTTTAAAGTTAACAACTGCCACAAACCTTTTGTCCCCTTGTAGGTTTTATTTGCAACTGTAACATCATCATTGGCAATATCAACATCCTTATTTCCAATAAAAAATTTATTTGCTTCTCGTCTAATACCATATGTAGTGTCTGTCATACTACTTTTACTGAGGTAATTTCCTAAATAGTCTGATGCTAAAAGACCAAAATCTAATTTCTGTGGAGTGGATTGCTGTAATGGTTGTAATCTTGGTATCATTGATATTCTAGATGGAGTCATTGGGAGTATCTCCATTCGAGGACTCTCTGTTTTGCCAATAGATGTGATTTTCTTTAATTCTTGTAATGGCTCTATTAAAGGTTGGAATGTTTGGAACCTCTCTTCAGCCTCTAGAAACTTGCCACGTTTTAAAGCTCTATATTTCTCTCGTATTTGATTTGCAGAGTCAACCAATTCTTGTTGAATGTTTTTCATCTTTTATTTACATTTTATTTATCTCATTTGACAAAGGATTGTACTCAAACACTTTATCATGTATTATCAAACAATATGCAGATGTATTTGCTGGCACATTTTCTGCAGTTTCAATCTCTAATTTAATATCAACAATTCCTTCCTTCACGGTTTCGTTCTGTCTAGAACAGTCTATTACAATTAGTGGATATTTCTTCATAAACTCAGCCCTACTAATCATAGGATCTGGGATAGTATTATAGTAAGTCTCTCTAAACCTCATAAACATCTCATAAGCTTTAGAGACATCTCCATTTTCAAAGTCGAGATTTAAATCACTATAAGGATAATATTCAGAGTTTAAAAATACTTTGAGATTTTTTAATTTACAGTGATCAAATTCATCAGTTCTTTTTCGTGCACTATTATCCCTAGCTGTTTGGAAACCAAATATAATATATCTAGGCTTCTCCAAACTTGAAGATGTTTTTACTGACCATGTATGTCTTGTGGTATTGGGATATGATGGAAGTTCATGCAGCTCTAAGCTTCTAAATGCAATTTGCAAATTTTTATTTTGCAATAACATCTTTTGTAATTGTAACTTCTCTCCATCTGATGGTATCACATGTGGCATCACCCATTGAATTGAGTTAAGTGTAATTTTAGGAATCAAATCAGCAGTGCCACTGGCTGGAGCACTAGCGGTTGTTAATATACAATTCAAATCATTTTTGGATCTTTTCAACACCAATTCTTGTTTGACATTTACTAATACCTTATTAAAATCCTCGAATACACCCATTAACAGCTCTAATGGTAAACATGTACTAAACTTGCCACCTTTATGGAACTCTTTTAAATTCGTGTCAGAATCAAATGCTACATTTGTCAATTTAGTTGTTTTATTGTAAGAGCTCAATATTTTCATAAGACTAGAAATTCCTGGGTTTCTTACAATGTC